GGTATAGGACAAACCGAAGATGTCGATACCGGATCGTATTGGGCTGGCGTCCTTGCACGCCTGGAAGTATAGCGGTCCCCAATCTATGCATACGCTTCAGCTGCGGTATAGTGTGACAAGTGGAAGCACGCACAGACGAGACAAGCCAGGATGACACCCATCAGGAAGCACTGTATGTATCCGGAGAAGGTCGTCCGGTCGGCGAGGATGACCTTCAATGGAACCTACCCAAGTGTTAGTGACATGATCAAGAAAGACAATCAATAACGCACGACTGGATGCGAGGCAACGAGGGTTTCGTACGCCAAGAAGATGCCGAACCCAAGCAAGCCGGCTATGAGTGATCCCAGAACCTGTGGCGATGACCAATCGTATTTCAGGCCGCCCCATGAAAGTGCAATGACAACAGAAGTAGACGATGCTGTGAAGATGACGTTGCCACTGTATCGTTGATCAGCCGAGTCTGCATGTGGGTGCATGAAGTGCGCCATACATGATGTCCAGATGCGCTATCTTCTCTCTGAGGGTGAGATGACCCGGTGTCTTCAGATTCAGGAATACGGCTATGAGCATGGCGGCGACCGCGCAGATAGGGAGGTTGAGATCTGCAGGGAGATTAACTCGCGGTGCGGACCGGTCGTTCAACAAGACGTACAGAACAGCCATCGCCTAGGGTATATAACAGTGAACCGCGGCTCGACAGAGAAAGCGAGACTGGACGCACCACTGACCAGACTGTGCCAGACTCCCGCCCAGCACAGGACCAATGCCTCCGCCGACAGCCCAAGCCAGGGCAATGATGCCGTTGAATACACCGCGCTCGCGCAGACTGACAAGATCGGCTAGGATGATCTGGATCAATGCAGTGACAGCACCACCTCCGAGTCCTTGAACGGCTGCCGAGATAAGGCGGGTCAGGATTGTAATGGGTACCGAAGACTAATGGAGGTGGACTTACTGCGAGCAGCGATAAGGAAGTTCATGTCCTTAGCCGCGCCGCAAAGCGCAGAGCCTAGAGCAAAGACAGCGATAGAACCAAGCATGGTGACCCGGCGACCGAAGATCTGGAAGATGCTGTGAGAACAGTGATTCATGGAGCGAGAGAGTTGAACTCACCTGCGCTAAACCACCAGAGAGCGGCAATAGAGCCGCGCTACCGAGCGTATAGCCCGATCCCACCCATACGAACTCTCCGCCACCGATATCCTCCACGATCTGTGGTAATGCCGGCCCAATTGAAGCCTGTGCGTAGTTAACACAACTCTTCTCGAGGGATCCCACAAGGAGACACTCACAAACTCAAGAGCGGTCAAGAGCATACAGATCGATAGCGACAGAATGATGCACCAGAAGCGCCAGTCGCGCTTTACAGAGGAAGGCTCGGCATATTCGGGTTCTACGATCCCTCCTTTGAGCTTGAGCGATACAAGGGACGAGTCGTGAGCGAGCGTGACGGATGTGCGACGCGAGTCGGTCAGGCCCGCGCTATCCATTAGATAAGTCAATAGTGATGTTGAGTAGGAAGGAGACAGAAAAAGTGGGCAATCTGGTAAGTAGAGGGAGTAAGCGCTCAATCATATATAGACATTCACTGCGGTCCAAGCGGGAGACAAAAATGCAGTGGCCGCCGTGCCCGACCACCTTAACGACAAAAGACTCACCGGAGGTGAAGCTTGAAGGGGAACAAAAGCACGCCGGATTAAGGATCGTATCAGGAACACGGCGGTAAGCCAGTCCACAGTATCTCCTCGGGGCGAGTTAGCGCGCTTCACGGCCATTATCATGACTGTCCGAAAGCGGTGCGCGCCCTCGAGGTATAAACGTGCGGGTTAATCCAGGGAAGTAGAGCGACTCGGAAGAGCAGAATTCCGGAGCTGCGCTCGTCTATGCGACAGAAGCTTATATGAGGAGCTCATAGTCATCGGTTCCTTGAGATAGCGCAATTGCCAGTTTACTTCGGTAGAAGGGACAATGGTTGCGCGGCGTGATGGACGTCGCGGGCAAGTCGGGTTTCGTGCTCGCCGCGACCGTCAACGTAGGCGCGGTCACGTGTGCCTTCGTTCGGCCGCGCCGAAAACGCGAGACCAGACTCCGCGACCGGAACGCGATTGCCTCTTCGACACATCCAGCTCAGATGCAACATCTTGCCACCAGCAACATGTGAGCGTGCTTCATTAATGGGACGAGAGAGACTGGGACGTGAAAATGAACGATGGACGGTGATTTGCAAAGAAGGCATCTGACGAAGTGCGCACTGACATTGGCGACCAGGAGCGTAACACGCCTTGGACACGACAGATGATTTCGGGTTACGTGTGGTAGTAACAGTTGCGAGGAGAGCCTGAGGGATGGGCGGAAGGTCTGGTCCTGGAATCACGATGATTGATGAACAGAACTCCGCGACGCCGAACGCAGCGCGCTGATCGTTTGCTTCCTCCGTGATTCCAGACAGCAGCTACTGTCATGCTCTAGGCAGCGAGAATGGGTAGCATCCATCGGTGTAACATCTTACCAGACCTTGACGATGAGACCCGAGACAGACACGCACGTCTCCTTCCGATTAGTACCAGCCTTGATGTTGGGCTTAGCCCGTCGTGCTGGTGGGTACGATTTGTGGTTAACCGTTCTGAGAGCAGAATCATGATCAGCTGCTGTAGTCATGATGGTCCGTATTTCTTCCAGAGCGCAACTGGGAAGAGCGGCGGGGGTTCAGCCTTTCGAAGAGAGAATGCAGTCTCGTGAGCCGGTAGTGCTCGAGTCCACGGCAAGCAGAAGCAAGAGCGTCACATGCTTTAGGGCCACAAGCGTAACCTTTCTTCTATATATACTTCAAGGGCGATCTTCCGACTCATCATGGCATTAGGAAGAGGGAAATGAGCGGTGCACAGACTCAGACCCGCGCTGCATGGGATCGGGCCGGTATCCGGAGGCACACATGGACCAATAACGCGGTCACGTTCCTGTTCGCGTTGCTACCGTCGCGACTTAGGCTCTGACCACCATTGCGTGGCATCTCGCAGGAGCCTGCTTAGCTTGACTATCATGGAGCCTCCACCAGTACCTTTTGAGGAGGAGAACCGCAATCTTCGGCGTGATGTCTCACATTGGACGCGACTCTACGCTAACCTGACCGCTCGTTTCGAGAAGGACGCAGTGCTCAGAGTACAGGAGATCTCTGCATACGAAGAGAAACTCATGGGCATGCAAGAAGTCGTAGAAAGGCTTGAGCAGCGCTGTCATGTCTTGGAATCACGTCTCGAGGACGCGCGTCGTGCTTCCGCTGAGCATCAAGAAGCGCGCGAGCGTGCCGAAAGCCGGCTCGCGGCCACAGAGCAGGAAAACAAGGAGCTGGCGAAGAAGGAGGATGCACATCTGGAAGCTTTGATTAAGCTGACACTTCAGTACGAGAAAGAGTGCGACAAGGTGCGTCATGTATGCGGCTACCGTGGTAGTATATCACTTACACATTTCCCACCTTACAGGTAGTTCAGAAGGACCAAGCGATTATCAGGATAGACAGATTGCTACAGGATGAATTGGATCGGGTGAGTTTTTGCTCACTCTTCATCTAGATGATTTGCTCAGTTGGTGCACCTTTCAGAACGAAGTCGAGCGGCGTCGAGCGAAGGACAAGTATGACGAATTACAAGCAGAGCGCGATGTGATAGAAACCGCGCGCAAGTCTCTGGAAGAAGATCTTTCCATCCTCCGGACTATGCTCGCCAGTTCCGAACAAGAGAACGAGGACCAGCGTACCCGCATCGATGCTTTAGACCGCGCACTAGAAGAGACAGAAGGACAGCTAAGGGCTTCAACCTCCTCCTTCGAAAGGGCCAACGCCGAACTTTCAGAGCTTCATCGTGTTTGTGCAGATGACGGAGAGGAGCGCCAAAGACTAGAACGAAAAGCGAGCGAGCGAGATGACTTGCAGGAGCGTACCAGGGAGTTGCAGCGGGAACTCCTCCAGCTCAGAACGGAGCTGAAGACATCAAAAGATGATCTGGCTCTTACTAGAGATCGGCTGAGGACTTCGGAGGTGCGTATTCCTGACCGTTGTCTTCATACTGTGATACCTAACCCCGCTATCCTCTATGACAGACTACCATCGCGAATATGACGAAGTCGGACTCGTCCCAGAATCCTTCCATACGTGCGCCTTCGAACAGTGATGTAGTTCTGCCGGAATCTCCTGCCAATGCGTTGCTTTGGGAGTTAACTTCTTCCAAGTCCCCTGCCAAAGGGACAGCGAAGGCACCCAATACGACCTTAGATGAACAGCTGGTTGAAAGCACCATGATCTCGCGTATGCGTCTTAGAGATGGCACCAAGGTGCGTAAGCTACCGTTCATTTTCACCAGCTAGAACTTACACGCTTCAGCCTGTACCTCGCGTTGTAGTTGACACGGACGATGACGATGACACCGAGCTACAAGCGCCAGCTGATATCAGTAACGAGACATTGATTGCGAGTTCTTCAATTGATCTTGCACCCTGTATTCACGCTGCGAGTAGGTGGAGTCCACGAGCGGGACGAAGCGGCGCCAGGAGAGAACAGAAGAAATAGGGATTGAGGCAGACCGTATTACTCTTGCCGTCGCCTATGAAGCACCCTGGCTTTCCCGGAACTACACACATTGCGAACAGAGTGCAGAGGGACATCCCTTTCTGCATTCGAGTGTAAGAAGGTCGGCCTCGCAGGCTGGAAACGCGCCTCCTAAGCGTCGCAAAGTTGAGATAGGTGTGGTCAGATTGGACTCGTGGATACCCAAGTTGGTCTACTAACTTTAGAGACAGACAATCATCCGCATGACAAGATCTCTGCTCTCAGGAGCGCCGTCCCGTTCCTCACCGAGCGTGCTCAATCCGTGCCTGCGTTTCCGGTAAATACCGTCGTAAGAAACAAGCTCCCGTCACCAGAACACGCCTACGCAGGATATGTGCCCCGGACCATCTTGTTCAAGAACTACCACGCCGTTATCAGCGATGCATTACCAACAGTATGCGTCGAATCGTGCACGATAGTCGGCATCAACCATTTGCGAAACTTCACCATTGGATCGATGCAACCCACACAGGCCCTATTCGCTAGATATGACCGCCAACCTGGGCTTCCTGTAACTCCTGGAGCGCCAGGAACTCTTCTGGTCACGCATATTCCAACGCCAATGCCGCATGGACTGCCATTACTTGCAGCTCCACCTGGTCGCGGCGACACGCGCTGCATCTACCTCGGCGACTATATCTGCGAGTTCGACACTAAACGGCCTGATGCGTTGTCCACTGAGGAGTGGGCGAGTCTTCCGTCCGAAGTGAGTATCGTCTCATTCGGCGCACTACTTGAACTGCGTTAACCTGTGATAACGGATTTGCAGGTTCGCAATCTTTGGCTTGAAACGTTGACCGGGGCTCCTGCTGACCTGCGCGTGAATGGGTTTCGCGATCATGCGTGTTGGTCTATGCTGGCTCGTATAGCACTCAGAAAGCGCAAACTATCTGCGGAACATGCGGCAAACCTCGCCAAAGAACTTCTATCTCCTGACATCGCACATCTGGAGCTTACGAAGGACGATATCCGGAACGCGCTGAACTCGGGCAAAGAAGTGCAATTTTTAGCCCTCGTCTGGAGTGTGGATCGCGGGCTGACACCCCTCTGCAGAAGCTTTTCGTAGTGAAGTTGGTCCCAACGAGCTTCAACACCGACTGGTATCGTGAGCTCCAAGGCTTAGCTTCAGGCGAGATTACGCCAAAGCCAAGATGCGGCGACGATCCTGCACGCATTGAGAAACACAAGAACTCGAGGCGTTCGATGCCCGCGCCCAAACGAAAGAGGCTGTCTCTGAATAAGATGCCCATGGACGTGTACAGCTCGGAGTAGTCCGCGGACAGTCGCTGAGAGCTTATGGGCGCATACATGGATTGATTGTGTCGCACGACGTAGGGTACCTACCTGAGTTCAACGATGGACTCCCTCTTGATCATTTTCTTCATCCCGCTTAGTAACTGGTTGCAATCAGTCCCTTGAATGTTCGTTAAGTGTAAACGTTACTAGACGGTAGGGCAGGGCGGTCTTTTGGGTGACCGAAGATACCAGCCGCGACGGCTTCCATCCCATCCGCAGCCTTCCAACTCGACAGCCTCGCATACACCAGAAGCAGCCATCCACGTCCATCAACAATCGTCCGGCGCACTAGCGTTGACTCGGGAGCTTTCAATCAACGCGAAGACCGGTGCTTGTGCTCTGGCAATTGAGGCAGACAGACACCGGTCCGACGCCGTGTGCGCGCAGATCCCTGAACTGTCGAGAAGCGCAGAAGTACGGAATGCACGAAGGGCGGCAGACATCGGCATTGGTAGGAAGCTTGCATTCGTCGAGTCATGAGGGACTGGAAGAGCGGGCCGAAGGGGTTGAAAGGGAAGAAGGGGCACTCTTGCAACTCGACGGAACGATTGCGAGCGTATGTCGGGTCACCGGAACTGAGATACCGGAGACGGGTATCGAGCTATGTATCGGATGGGGCATCTGAAGTGCAAGAGGCGGCATACTATGACATTGATATAATGCTGTGTATCAACATGAGGCTTTACGACTATGCATGACGAGTGGCGGTAAGCACGAGGGTGGGAGGAGGAAGGAAACGCGCGTCCGACGCGAGGACAAGGCTTGCCAAAAGCGGGCACAAGGCGCACCGCTATATGTACCGCGCCTGCATTCCTCCGTGCAGTCTTTTCCCTGGCAGCTGCTTCTGAAACCTGATCTAAACTTGTCAATTCGTAACTTGAACTTGAACCCTTGTGAACTTAGCAATTATGGGTGATGTATACGGTAAGTTGTCGTCCGTGCGGGGCGTATCGTGGTGCGGAAGCAAAGCTGATGCTGATGCGCGTGGTGCAGACGATATGCCTCCGCTCGTCGAGCGGCCTCTGGCTCCTCCTCCTCCATCAACCTTCCTCCTACCTCCCATCGACGACAATGACGACGACCTTCCTCCTCTTGTCGAGCGCCCGGCCCTTCCCGCTGATGGCGACCTACCTCCGCTCGTAGTGGATACCAAGGCGCAATCGCGCTGGGAGTTTATCTCTGACGAGCCACTTGAACCTGCCACCGGCCCCATCCGTACGGCCAAAGAAGGCAAAGAGACTACCAATTCGGGACCACCGAAGCCGCCCAATGCATTCATCCTCTTCCGCGCGTCTTTCGTCAAGGCGAACCCGGTTCCGCGCGAAGCCGAGCGTGACCACGCGACTCTCAGCAAAATCATTGGCCTCGTCTGGCGTGGGCTCGACAGCGACGAGAAGGTCAAATGGGAGAAGAAGGCTGGCCAGGCGCGCGAAGAGTGGAGGGCGAAGAATCCGGACTGGAGGTTTAGTAAGGCTGGCAACGGATTTATCGGATATACGGGCGGCGGTACCGGAAAGAATAGCGGCGGGGGAGGCGGCGGAACGAAGGCGAAGGGTACGAGGAAGAAAAAGAAAGGCAGTCAGAAGGAGAGATGTGAGGCCATCGCGGGGCTCATCGCGAAGGGCGTGAAAGATGGTGCACTTGCGGACGCGATACAGAACTGGGACGCCACCTCGAGCCCGAGTCCGCCGCCGGTCGAGATGCCGCGGAAGAAGCCGAAGACCAGGACGCGCATGGCGCCCTACGTCAAGATGCTCAGCTTCGATGAGGAGGTCAAACCGGAGCCCGTTGACTCTCCCAAGAAGCCGCAAAGTCTTCTCCCGGCGGCGCATCGCGAGTCGCCTGCACCCGTCATCGAGGCTCCTGCAACGCCAAACCAGGACTACAGCTGTGGCACCGAAGTCTCAAACGATCTTGGCGCTCAGTACCAGTCCATTCAAGGCTACCACTTCGGCTCTTTCAATGTTAACTCGTCTCCTGTCAACCCTGCGACGATTATCGGCCCGAGCTCGCCGCCGCCTGTGGACAACGGCTATGCGCCTCCCTCGCCCGCTACAGATGTGTATAGTGCGAATGCGGCTGTCGGATTCGATGCCAGTAGCATGGCTGCCACCGATGCAGGCGGCTACTCCCCTGCGGATGCCTACTACTCCGATCGTCGCTCCTCATATGCGTCCACGTTCTCCGGCCAGGATACACCTGTCACGCCCAACATCTTCGGTCAAGACTCTGGCGTGTACAACGGTGGCTACTCGGGCTACAATAACGGATACGATCAGACCATTGCGTCCAACGTACGTGTATCTTCCTGTCTCACTTTGATGTCGCCTAATTGGTTCGCATCTAGTACGCTTACAGCACCATATCCCCACCCGGCAGTCCTGCCGTGTTCTCCCTTCCGAATAGCTCTCTCGACCACAACTCGAGCTACAGTACGCTCAGCGGGTGGAACGGGACTCCGACGGCGCTTACCGACGAACACCAGACTACAACGAGGCCGTATCACACGGGCGTGTTCAACGCCAGTCCCACGCCCGCCCCATTACAAGGCCATACCTACGACGCCAAAGCATACAATGATGTATTTTCGACCAAGAACGCTGAGCCGGCTTCTTTCGCTACCAAACCTCTCGAGCCCGTCGTGTTCTCCGCCAAGAACGTCGAGCCCACAGTGTACAACGCCGCCGACACCAAGCATGCTGTCTATCCCGCATATCAGGCGCCGTATACCGCAGGCGTGCATACGTGGAATGCAGGCGCAGGCGCGCCGTGGGCCCAGGTCGGGTACGCGTACGCATGAACTCGCGGTGCCAAACTATTCCGGCTCCTCGACCCCTTCTCCCTCTGACAAAAAACCTATCCTTGTCGCCTTGGTTGTGCTATGTATCCCGAGCTCTCGAAGTTCTTTACAAGAACGATCCGTCCTGTATCATCGAGTCCCTTGCGCCGTGTCGTCTGTACTATATGCTCTCTTCACCCGTTCACGACCTTTCACGACCCCCATGCTTTATATGCTTCCATGCCTTCTTTTCACCCGTCTGTATACCTATGCGCCTACCACCTCTCATTAACAGACTCTGATATTGGATATTTATGTAGGACGACAGTGTGTGTACGATAACCATCAGAGCATTGCATTCACGCAGCCTTCAGCGCGTCGCTATTACTTCGGATCTTGCGAACCGTATCCGCTTTCTTCACTGCTGCTCTCGCAAGATTCGTCATGCGGGACCGCCAAGCGCTGTTTGTATGTACACGTGTACGCTTCTTGCAGTGTGAAGTCCGGGTATTCGATCGAACGGCCCTGGCGTGATCTATCGACTTTGGCCTCCCAAGTAGCTTTCCATCCTGGTACGAACAACTTGTCTTGTCGAGGATTCTTCTTGAGCTCACCACTTGCAGCCGCTTGAAGCTCCATGTACCAGTCCTTGTTGAATGTCACGGGGACTAGCCTCAATACGACTAGTTGCTGTGCATCATCGCGTAGCGATCAGCGATCCACACACATATGCGCACGTAGGTCGAAACGCGTACTTCCTCACCAGAGTCAAGCGCCTTCCTCACGTCTTCTTCTGTAATACCAAGGACGATGTTCTCCTGTTTCCTACGTTGAATGACTTTTGCGACCTTTGATCCACGTTCCACTGGGAGTCCGTGCTTTCTGAGAGCTACGCGTACCACCATCTCCCAGCATTGCCTGTTGTGACCGACACAAGAAGATGGCAACGCTGGTGTACTCAGTGCGTTGACCCAATTCTCTCGTGTCTGTCACAATCACCGGCAACTTGAGTAAAGGTGATGATAAGGACGAGCGAGCCACTCACGTCGCTAGGAAGACTCCTCCATTCTCCCGCTGAAAGCAGATCAAAGTCCGGGGCGACCGTATACTCTCCGAGATACAACCAATGCGTTGGCAGTATACCCGGAGATCCTCGAAACAGAGAGAAGAACCGAGATGTTCGCCTCGAACGAGGTGGATGTGTCGAAAAGAACACGCCAGGTTGTCCTGGCGAGCTTGGCAGACCCCAGTGCAGGTCTGTTGGGAAGTACCAAGCAGGACGACAGGACTCGTGGGATGGACCACTGGCAACCCTTGGGGCTTGATGCGTGCAGCATATCTCGACGTTACGACAAGCATGATGACAGACGCCCAATGCCAATGAGCGAATGGGCCTCCCAGGTTCAATCCCATAGAGTGCGACCAGGATCTCCTTAGAGACATAACCCATGAAAGGACGCCACGGTGTGGGCGATCTCTCGAGAATGGATGAATCCAGAGCTAACGCGCGAGTTCCACTGACGCGCGCGAATAACCGCTGCGTCGTCGTTGAGAGTGGCGGGGTTTCCGTAGATGGTTCCATGCTCTTTTCATCTACACATCGCGATGTTCAATCTGGGTGACACATAAGCACGGTCTGAAGGCTAGCACTTACTTCGAATACTGTCCTCTGTTCTGCGTCGCTTAGTCGCCGAGGATTCACCTGCACTTCGGTTGTTCACGTTGCGATTTGGAGCTACGCATGCATCGCTACCAGAAGGACCTGGAGCGGATCGCTTTGCGCTCGAGGATATTTGTTGTAGGTCGCTAACGACTAACGGCATATCGTCTGTCAAGTCAATGGAGATCGGCTCTACTGCCGATGTCGACGTCGACTGCACGCGCTTCTGTCAGGCAAATGAGTCAATCTTCCTGGCAGCTTCTCACAGGGATACGGTCCTCGCGCAGTTACAGGAGAGTATGCTTACCTTCATACTGTTAAACTCAGCAGTCAAGTTCGATAGTTCCCTCTTCGAACCTTCGAGTTCTGTGCTATACTTGACCAATCGACGCTGGTGCTCCCAAACTTGCTTCTGTAGATCATCCCTCTCCTTGGTCCTCGTCTCGAGCTTCTTATGTACCTTCACGATTTCGCCATGAGCCTGTCTGAGTTCAGCCGACGCAGAGATCAAGGCCAAGTTCGCAAATGCGGCCTCATCGTAACTGCCTTGCGCACTCTGCTGAACGGTGGCTGCCTGTGCTGTTACTTCGACGCCGGCTGGTTGCTGGGCCTTCTTGACAGCCTCCGCCAGTTGAGCCTCAAGTTCTTTGATCTTTTCGTCTTTGGCCACACGGGATGTTTCGAGGGTTCTGATGAGATCCCGTTGCGAATCCTGGAGGCTAGAAAGCGACTTTTCTAACCGCATCCTTTGCTCGTTATCTGCCTTAGCCTTCGCCCGATTCAGATTATATGCGCAAATGAAACACTCCATAGTCTGCGCACCTTCTCTATCCACTCTTGCAGTAAGCGCTCCGTGTTTCTGGCGACCGTCCTTGCAGCTTCTGCATCTTTCTTCGCATTGTCTCGCTTGTCAGGATCAGTCAAAGATGGCATCAAATATATGGATTGCGTGGTTCTCACACCTGATTGCATACAGATGCGACCTGTTCCTCGAATTGCTTTGAAGCTTCCTCTATAGCGCTCTCGATGGTTTTCTGTGTGTTGGCTATGAACTCAGCCTTCTCGAGCTCAACGATTGAGAGCATAGCCTCGGCGCGTTCTCGTGCCTCTTGGTGCTCGCGCGCTGATTGAATCGCGGCTTCAAGTTGAGAGACTGTCATAGTGTACTCCTAGTGCACGACAGAGGGGACTGGGAGCAATTGTCCTAGCAGAGGTGATGGTCAAGATCAGGTCGCGCGTCGCGATGAATCGCGCCTCGTGTGCACCTGACCGCGTTATGGGTCCAAGTATATTTCCGGCTTCCGGTCCGCACCTCAACGGGTGCACGAAATACCTGCAGGCAGCAGACCACGGGTTGCTTATGTCGAGCTTCCTCAAGTCTGTCGCCGGCATGCAGAGCATGCACGCACTCACGTTCCATTTCAATGTTTCATACAGGCTAATATGGTTGGCAACTGCAGCTCGCTGGGCCAGGTTTTGGGTCTTCACACAAGTTTGATTTACCCGCACAGCTCGTTCGACCGACCGATATGCAGCTTAGTCGACGTTTGGCGTGTAGGTCACATCCGAACATAGCTACAGTGCAGTCATGCTCTGAGCCGAAAGGCTCCGTCAGAGGACGTGCAACCCATCTGGTAGTCGTTCCAACGAAGCTCCTGGAGCATTGAAGTCAACGATGCATGGGGTGATTTTGCAAGCATAACTAACCTCAAATGAGCGCCCTTCATATTCAGGCATCACGCAGATGCTCTCATAAGCTACGAAACGTTCCGGATTCACATCAGCCGCCACCGTTACCCGATACGGCGTTAGAAGAGTCCCATTGAGAAGGCCCAGCTTAGGAACCGGCGTCTTGAGCACCTCGAGTATCATCTGGGCTCGCTCGCGTCCGCCTTGCTGAATGAAGGGTGGAGTGTGCTTTGGTTGGGCATCTTTCTCCGCGGACAGTCCACGTACTGCTTGCGCCCTCAAGCCTTTTTCACGAGCACATCGAGCTTCCGAGAGCTCTGTACGCAGTCTGTGGAGGTCTGCGATTATAGTTGATCGTTCTTCTTCATGTATCGGCGCGAGTACCTCGGTACGTTTCACCTCGCCACTAGCCATTAGCCCGGCCCCATGCGCATTATCGGCTATCTGGGCCTGCGGTAGCGTGACCTTATCGGTTTGCGCCGCAAAGTCTTTGCGCAATATTGAGAGAGCATCCTTCGTAAATGCGTACTCCGCCTGAAGCCTCGTGAGGGCATTCTCCGCCCGTAGTCGTCCATCTTCCTCTGCCTTGGTCTTAAATCTCGCCAGTCAAAATCATGCTCTCGAGGTATGCGAGGTAGTGGCTTACTCGATCAATGGAGTCTTGTAATAGTCGCTCAACTCTGGCAGTGACCTCCTTTTGTGCATCTCTCTGTCGAAATCGGTCAGATATCAGTATCCAGGTGGACGACATCCGCGTGTCCACGCACCTGACCGAGCACAGCTGCGAGCTCTATCCTGAACCGCCTCTCCGCTTCCTCCATCGCCTCAATCAGAGCCTCCTTTGCCGCATCCTCCTTCCCTTCCGTCTCATCCTTCCTCTGTTGTTGAGCGAGGGCAAGAGCGGCCTCCGTACGCGCACACGCCTCCTGATGCTTACTCGCGGCATGCAGAGCATCTTCAAGATTCGATTCTAACAGGGTTCGTCCCTGCCGGGCAGAGCGTAGATCCTCCTGAAGGTCCGAGATAGTCCCCTCATAAGCCGTGACTTCATTCTGTAGACGTGCGTTCAAGTTATTGTTCACCCGATTCAGTCGGGCGACTTCGCGCCGGAGATCACGAATCTCATCGTCTTTCGCGCCAATGCTCAAAGCAAAATCCATAAAGATGTAGTGGGGCTCCTGCGCTCGAGGTAGTTGCAGCGACCAGCGGTGGAAGTGGCAGTTCAACGTTCAACGTTCAGGTCCAACCACGCGAATTCGGCGCTATCCAACGCGGGTTGATTACAAACCATCCACGTGACCGCGTTATGGGTCCAAGTATATTTTCCGCTCCCGGTCCGTGTGTCGTTCACGCTGGTTAGCGCTCCGCACTTCTCTCCCGCTGTCACCGTTGTGTTCTGGATACACAAACCTCTATGGGCCCAATGGTTACTTAGCCTAAGCCGACTGAAGCGGCCGAAGTACAGTACCTAAAATCTAGCGAGCGAGCTGCCGTTTCTAAGCCGTTCCTGGACCAGGCGCGCATGGTCAACCCATGGTTGCCGCAACCTCTTACTTTTCCCGGGAAAGGATACTCCCGGGCAGTCTGCTTCCCAGTCTCGCATCGCGATCATTGCTCGTCGAATCACGCCTACAAACCGCACTCTACTTTGGAAAGGTACTCTTGCGTGGAAGAAACGCAGGCTCGAAACGTCTTCGAACGCGCGCGCGCGCACAGCGCTATATCTAAGCTCGTAGTATATCTTGTAAGACTCTCTTCGCCAGTTGAGCATTTGCTGTGCCGCGACTCTGTTTCATGACTCTGCCTAGAATCTTATTGAGGACGTTCATCTTGCCATTGCGGACCGCCTGCGATTCATTGGGCATCGCGGCTAGAACATCGCGACAAAGCTGTTCTAGCGAGTCATCTTCCAGGACGATGAGCGATAGAGACTGCGCAAGTTCCATCGCCGATGCTGCCGAAGGATGATCGAGCATGTGGCGAAGCAGGGTCTTCCCAGCGTTGCCTGATGCATATTCAGTGGATGCGAGCAGAAGGGGGTACAGAAGACCAACCAGTCAAGTTGCCCTGCTGAACTAGCTTGATGATTTCGCCCATCTGCGATGCGGAAACCGTGTTGTCGCTGAAGGTCTTCCCGCGTAGCGTGAGCTGGCCAAGGAGTTCGTGTGTAAGCCTATAGTATCTTAGTAATGCGATGCACAGCTCAGACTGGGCGCTGCAGACCAGTTCACAACAGTCTTCGGATCGTGGTCACGGGAGAGCTGGTCAAAGTAAGCGACGACCCCTTGTTCCAGTGACCCGTCCACGCCCACGTCGCGCCCGGAGTCCACAGAAAGAAGTACGCCTGCATCCCGTTCGCTCAAGCCCAGGTTCAAGAGCCGCTCTCGAGTCTCGGATGGTAATTCAGGCATCTTTGCGCGAATCGACGTCAGATAGCCCTTCACAGTGTTCAATAGGCAGCTAGCGCGGTAGAAGGCTAGCATCTTACCTCCGTCAAGGTGAGAGGTGGAATATTGGGATCGGGCATGTAGCGATAATCGGGAGAGTCTTCCTTGCTTCGAAGCTTGAAAGTCTCGTGCCGATCTTCGTGGAACCCCCGTGTTTCTTGTGCCACTGCTGTCCCGCCCTCCAGGAGAGCTATGTGCCGAAATACTTCTGAGGCTGCCGACAGTCAGCAGCGATCTCAGCAAATGAACCGGAGAACTGACAGATAGCCACCATCATGAAGCGGACACTATTCAAGTTCTTGATCTCACAACGCGTACCGGGTGCATCTCCGGGGCGGTTCACAGAGACGTTGACGTCGCAGCGTAGAGAGCCTTGCTCCATATTCCCGTCGCTGGCGCCCACCGCACGAAGTAGAGTTTGCAGTGTACGAACATAGTCCGCGGCTTCTTCAGGCGACCTGACAGCAATCCAATGAGCAAACTCGGCAGAAACCGTTCTCGACGGCAAGGCACACCTCATATCTGGCTTCGAGACTATCTCCATGAGCCCCGTCCCCGCTCGATTTAAGTCAATGGAGGACATCCGTCGTCTGGTGTCAAAAGTTGTCTTCGCCGTATCCTTGAAGAGTATTATGAGCATGCGCTGAGGAGCTGGCGGGTCGGGCAATGTCTACCTGCTCTAATTGGATCTGTTCTATGCGAACAGGGACACCGGATTGAGAGAGCATAAGCTGGCCATCTTTCGCGATGGGACCTGACGATTCTTCTCCAGCAAGGATTCCGGGAGATGAGAGATCAACGTACTATAGCGCTGCGTGATCTGGTATCCTGTTGGCAAGTCGGAGTAGAAGTAGTGTTTCCTGTCGAAGCGTGAAACAGGCCTGACATCCGCGTTGAGCGCCATAGCCGCCCGTACTGCCAGCTCGACGCATTTGGGGTTCAACCGCTAGAAAGAACGCGTGTTAAGCGCTGCATATCGCGACACCAGAGGTCCTAGCTACTTACCGGGAGTGTTCCGGGCATACCCGCGTCGAAAGCAGATACATGGGTGTTTGGCTCGTCTTCGTACCCAGACGTGCAGGCGTCTCTCATTCGGGTAAACATCGCAATACACTGCGAAAGGGCACGTTCTTACCTGAGAACAGCTTGTGACGGGAGCGTAGCTGAGCGTGGACTTCGATGCCGATGACCACTTCCCAGCCGGGCCATTGCGTCTCTTGTTTCGTCGCATGCGCATACCGCACACCTCGAGCGGTCCAAGTGAGCTTTCTCAGGATGAGCCCATGACGGCCAGTCAGCATAGCGATGATTCAAACCGGCCGGTCAACAGTGCCACGAATGTCGCGGTCACGGTTCGAACTCAAGACGCGTCGACGTCGCGCGTCGAGGCGCGTCCCGCCCAAGCTTTTGACTCTCGTGCACGCGTATTCACCTCATAGCCATGTTGGCGCCTTTGCATTCCCCGCGAGTACATAACGGGTTATGACTGTTGATGGATGTAGTAAGATCATAAAGATACATGCGCGAGACTCCAACAGCAGGATTCATATAGTACGCGTACACGTAGTAAGCAGTCTTCAAGAGTGCATGAGGAAGCTACAAGCATTGAGGATCGACCTCGTACCCATGCAGAATCATGTCGGTCAGAGTGGACGCCCGATTCTGTTATAGCGATTCTCGTGCTCAGAAATCGCCACAATCGAAGCCGGAATCGCCACCGGAATCGCCGCGGAATCGCGCACTCTGACGGTATCTAAGTAGATCCACGAACTGTAGTAGTATACATTGTGCGAACCTCATGCATCGCATGGCGTCGCGGTGGGACTAGACTCTTAGTATGTTATAATCGTTCCAGCGAAGCTCCTACATACGAATAGGGTCAGAAACGCGAGAGCGCTCTGAGTCGTCGATGTATGTAGCTTACCTCGGATGAGTATGCTTGATACTCGGGCATAGCGGATATGCTCGCAAACTGCACCCACTCTGGAGTCGGGAATGCAGCAGCCTGCGGATCGATCTTCGCTCGTATCACTCGATAGGGTGTAAGGTGTGTACCCATCCAATTGGCGCGTGGATCAGTGCCGGTGATGGTTCTTATATCGTCCCGCAACCTCACCAGCTCGCGTTGCAGCTCCCAGCCACGCCTTTGCAAGTCGTCTTTGACTTTGTCCCTTGTCCCGAGCTCCTCGTGTACCCGGGCCTCCTCGAAAGTCATAGTCGAAAGCTGAGCCTGGAGCATCGCGATCTGTTCGCTTGCAACCGAGACTGCCACGCTCGCGGGGTTGGCTTTACTATCGGAATCGGGCCCCAGCGTCGGGAGTGGGTTGTTCACCTTCGACTGGGACTAAGCCTCGGTGTAAAACCAAAGAATCACGTATTGACTTACACCAGTAGTAGCTTCACGGGGTGATCCATTCGAGGCGTCGGCAGCCACTGTTTCTTTTCCTCCCTTGAATGATTAAGAAGGAACTGGGTCAAAGACCGGCGAGTAAGCGGCTTTCTCGTGTATCTGCCTACCTGACTGGGCACAGCCTGGGTCGTCTTCTTTGCAACTCCACCCAGTACCTGGCTATCAGAATGTGCAGGTCCAGGAGGAGTTGATTGCGTTCTCTCCTCGTTCGTAGCCTTCGTTCGTTCTCGTTCGTTCAACTGATCATCAATAACCCGCACCGTCTCTTCGAGCCGTCGTTCCGCCTCAGCACGTTTCTGCCTGGCGGACTCCAGATCTTCGCGCAGCTCAGAGATAGTCACTTCGTAAGATGAAACCTCATTCTGCAGCCGCTCAGCGTCGTGTATAAGACGAGCGTTCAGATTGTCGTTCGTCCGCTTCAGCTGAGCAACCTCACGCCAAAGATCGCGGATCTCGTCATCTTTAGACAAGCGTTTCATGGAGTCCATTAGAGCCAGTCACTGTATCGGACAGGGAGGATGACCGTATCTTCGCACTGCCAGTGAGAACGAGACGAGGGTTCGGGTCAAGTTACGCGGCGCGCCGGTTCGCCCGATTGCCACCTGATTCTAGCCGATTGTCTGTGAGGTTTCACACGTTTTCCGGCCCGATTCTTTTGCAAGGCCTTACAGGTAGCCCG